GCCCTAGTTTCATTCAGGAGGAAGGTGGGATACACACTGAAAATCATAGAGTAGTATAAAATATTAAGAATACAAAAAAAAATAAATACAACTATAAATACAAATACTTATTTTGCAATACCAAGGATTTCTGAGTGTAGGGAAGAGTTAGGCCCTGTGGCAAAGTTCAGTGTCCTTCCAAGACCAAACTATATTTATTTCTTAAGGGTGCTACTGAAAGTATTTCAGTGTCGAGATTCTTCCATTCTGCTCATAGAGACAAACCTTATCAGTTCCTCGTATCACAGATTTTGATTTCTATCAAGGGGTTTAGGTTGCTCATTTTTGTTGTTGTTGCCCCTGGTTACACCTATTATTAGAAGCTCCTTTTGGATAAATAAAAGCAGAACTACACATTAACACCTGATACACCGCTCCTACAGTTATGTCACTTCAGACTGTGGGTGGGGGTTGTGCATTTTAATGCCCCCACCATGTTTTAAAACAACATCAACCACCCAACAAACTGTGCACCTAGAAAGGTAGCATGTGAGGGAGAAAGAGAAGCTAGAGCCCCTTCCCCTTATGTTAGCTTTCTATAGACAGGAAATATCTGCTACGAGGGAGCAAGGCAACCATGCAACCCCTATCTGCCGTACAGTCCTAAGAGGGCTGGTGCTTCTGAAAAGCTAACTTTCCTCCAAAGATAATGCCGATCACGGACAGCCCATGAAGTTGGTGCCCACTGCCTGGGACCCTGGAAAAAGAGGAGGAAGCAATCTAGGGCAGAGGAGGAGGGGACAGCAGGGGCAAGATGACAGGAGAGGGCAAGAAGGAGCACATCCACATTATACTATTTGAAACAGGAGGGATGTTGGTGCCCTTTAGCTTAATTTCATGTGAGTGGCCTTCCTCCAAATCTGCTGATACCCCCTTACTGCTGGTAAAGCTAAAGGTAAAGGGACCCCTGACCTTAGGTCCAGTCGTGACCGACTCTGCAGTTGCGGTGCTCATCTCGCTTTATTGGCCGAGGGAGCCGGCGTACAGCTTCCGGAACATGTGGCCAGAATGACTAAGCCGCTTCTGGCGAACCACAGCAACGCACAAAAATGCCATTCACCTTCCCGCCAGAGCGGTACCTATTTATCTACTTGCACTTTGACGTGCTTTCGAACTGCTAGGTTGGCAGGAGCAGGGACCAATCAACGGGAGCTCACCCCGTCGCAGGGATTCGAACTGCCGACCTTCTGATCGGCAAGTCTTAGGCTCTGTGGTTTAACCCACAGCACCACCCGCGTCCCCCTTACTGTTGGTACCTGACTGTAAAAAGATCAGGCCAATGGCCCACCTAGTCCAGCACCTGTTCTCACAGTGGCCAACCACATGACCCAATGGGAAACCCACAAGCAGGACCCAAGCACAAAAGCACACTCCCCATCTGTGGTTTCCAGAAACTGGCATTCAGAAGCATTGCAGCCTCTGACTGCAGAGGCAGAGCAATTCATCATAGCTAGTGTCCATCAAACATCCACAATGAGACTGTTACTTGCCTGCAACATGGTATCCAGGGCTAGAGATTGCCAACCATGGAAAGCAGCAGGGTCGGGGAGGGGGGGCGGAATCCATGTACCCAGATGAAGGCAGCTGGAGTGAAGAGGAAAAGGATGCACACACAGCAATTGTACTCCAGGCAAGCCAATGGGATTTACAGCATGTAAGCATAGTTAAGATTGGGGCCCATTTTCTCTAATTAACCAGCTCTGGTAGATTAGATTAGATCTTCAACCCCTTTGTTATTTAAAATACATATTCATAGCACTATATTTTATAGATGCACTGTTCTGGTTACAAAATAGCTCCTACTTTTCTAGGACATAATTTCATTTTGTTTAGCCAAGAATTCATTAAGGAAGCTATAAATAACCTCCTTTAAATATTTAGCCGTGAATAGAGGGTGGACTGGCATTGATGGCTTATTTTAGTACTAACGCAATATGCTTTAGAGCCATAAAATCTACATTTCAGCATGTATCAAGCTAATGATTAACACCTCCAATGAGGTTTGCGATATCCAATTACAGTGTGTGTATTTGCAAGCTTAGGTCCCAAAGAACACCCCCTCTCACACACACCAAACTTTCCAGTTTGGGAGGGGACACCAATATTCCAGAAAAGCATTGTATGACTTCTGCACCTACGCTGGCCAGCTGGCCACACAAAAATCACATAGTAGTCAATGTAAAAATAGGTGAATTAGAAGCAGTGCAGGATTTCCCTCCTCTGACCTGATAGACTGATATTAGGATTGTGAATGGCTCTTTTTCATTGTATTATCTTGCCCACACAATGAGATCTGCTTCAGAGATCCTGCTTGCATTTCTGCCAGTAAGGTCAATTAGGTTGGTGAGCAAAACACACACACCAGGGCCTTTTTAGGGGTTGCCCTGCTGTTACAGAACCCCCTTTTGATTGGATTACACTTGCTCCCCTGCCTTACAGACTTTCAAGTGAGCCTCAAAAACTTATTCTTTAAAATGCTGTCTTTCCCTGAGAGTTTAACTGACTTATGATGAGATCAGAGTGGCTTTCTCATAGTAAAGTATATCATCTTGATTTATCTATCTGCCGTTTATGCGTGCTGCTTTGGGAAGAAATGCCCCTAAAAGGAAGCCTGTAAATATTTTACATAAATAAATAAGAAATAAAAGGACTCATGACATCTGTACACAGCCTTTCTTCCAAAGAGCTCTGAGAGCTATTTTGCCTTACCAACAACCCTATAAAGTTGGTTTGGTTAAGGGAGACCAGGGCTGTGTACAGGCTGCTATTTACTCTGCATCTAGTGTGCTCCCATCGCTATTTGGGGAAATGGAGTATACATGTTAGCTATAATCCATGTCTCTCTTACAGTTTCTCATGGAATACTGCATTTTGATGCATTTCCCCCCAAACCAACTTCAATCTGAACTGAGAAATACTGACTAATTAGTCTGTCTGTAGCCTCTATCCCGCCCCCAAAAGATGTAATGGCAATTTGAACTTCATTTCCCTAAATCCCACCCCAACACTCTAACCCAGGGGTAGTCAACCTTTTTATACCTACCGCCCACTAATGCATCTTTCTTGATGGTAAAATTTCCTTACCACTCACCAGTGTTCGTTGGAAGGATTCAGCTTGTGCCGTAGAACCCCCTACCACCCACCTAGAATCCTGAAACGTCCACTAGTCGGCAGTAGGGACCAGGTTGACAACCGCTGCTCTAGACATTAAACCACACCAACTGTCCAGTAAGATTTGCAGATGGTTCCTTGATTTAAAGACTTGCCCCTTATCCTATAGAACATAGAACATAACACATAACGGCCACCAGTCCAGATTGATATTGACATGCATATGAACAGATTGAATTCCAATCTAACTCGCCAGTCCTCAAGCTTTCCATGTTTGGCAGAGTTCTGTAACTAACAGACAAGCAGAAACCTTCTTAGTAGTCAGGCTCCCCTCTGAGAACCAGAAGCACCCTGTTTTACAAATACAACAGAACACTCAACTTTTGCTGCACTGTAAAGGTTGTTTAGTACATAAGTAAATTCGAGTAAATGAATGGGGTATTGGCTGCTGAAGACATTTTACCACCTGAGGCAGAGCAACAAATGGTGTGTGTCCCTCTTCCAATGGTCATGGAACATGGTACTCAAGGCCAGTCATACTGTTTTGTCACCTGAGGCAAGCTCCTCTCCAATAATAAAATACAATTAAAAAAATCAGAACAACTAAACAGTTTGCTGCTGTTTCATGACACCCAATATCAGCTGCTTGAAACAGTAACCCCACTCTGCCCAATGGTAGGGCTGGTCCAAGATTATTTAGGAACACAGGAAATTGCCTGGTGTCGGGTCAGATCAAACTATTTCTCCATCTTATTCTGACTAGCTGCATGCAGCATTCCAGGTTATTGGTCAAAGGTCTTTCCCACCACCTAATCCATTTAGGTGAAGGTGCCAGAGATTGGACCTGGGACTTTCTGCACGAAAAGTGTGCTTGACAACTGAGCTGCAGCGATTCCCTTTGCCTACCTTGACTAAATTCCTGAAAGTTGATTTCCCCTTCTCTAAAGACAAAGGTTCAGGGCATCTCTTGTGTGCTGGGGCCACAATGGAAGCTGCTTCTGCTCAACACTTGCTCAGTATTAGCTTCGCAAAGAGAACGTGGGAAGAAGTGTAACATGGAAAAGTGAACCAAGCTGAAAGGGGAGAAAGATAATTTGCTATTTTGCTTTCATTTTGTTTATTTATTGGACTCATAGCTAGGCCCACAGCTGTCAGGGCAACTAACACTACACAAATTATTACTCCCACCAGTTTGCCTAGGCTGCTGCTCCTGCAAGACATACTGTATACGCCTTGGTTTTGAAAGCTGGGAGGGAAGTCCCCTTGTGGACCTGATCTGGTTGCTTCCCAGTTCATGAAAGAACTGAAGCAGGTGGTCTTGTATGGATATTGCAGCCAGCTCATTGATTTGTGCTTGGATGGCAATAGGGAACTAATGAAACATTTGCTCGTTCTTAGAAGGGTAAGTGGACTAAAATCCTGCAACCCGACCTAGTGCCATTTGCTGCAGGCAGGATGCTGCCACAGTGTGCAGCTGGAGGACTGGCCTGATAGACTGCTTCCTTTTGATTACATGTCCATGCTGTGTCTTGTATTCAAGTTGCAAACTCTGAACAATAACGGCACAGGGTCGATTGCTTCCTGGAACAGCCCACGACAACAGAATCACATTTTTGAATGCACAATGGAAGGGGAGGATCTCTTTGGGGCTAAACCTCCTTTAGTTTAGGGTTAAGCTCTTCTCCCCATGAGCACGTAATTTCCATTGACGTTAATAGGTGTTTCATACACAAAGAAAAGAAAAGAGAGTAAAGGGCTCTGTATTGGAAAGGTCAGAGAACATGCTCAAGGAATTTGGAACTGAGAAAATGTTTCAACTCCACTGTATATAATAACCCAAAGGAGAATACTTTCAACATTTCAGATTTTTTCTTTTTCTTTTACTTGAAAAGTGTAATTTTACAAAATACCATTTTTTCGATCAAAGAAACATCCCTGCAAAGTACGCGAACACAGCGTTCTGTTTCATAGAGTTTATACAAGTTATCAGAGGTTTTATGCTAGTAGGAAAGAAATGATTCGTCAGCACAGACACCTAAAAGCAAACCCTACAAAACAATGGGGGATATGAGCAAGTCTTAAACGCTAAAGCAAGTCATGAAATATAATTGTTGGCTCTATTTGAAAGTTGCAAAGTTTCTTTCAAACGACCCATATGGTATGTAGAACATCACATCTGGTACAAAACTGCCTGTATTTAGATTTAAACACACACACACACACACACACACACACACACAGCCTTATGAAGATTATTCTTTTGAAAATTATTCCAAGTGCTGTTATCGTAAGGCAAACATATACAAAGGTGCTGACTGCATACAGGGATATTAAGAAAATAAGAATAATTTTGAAGTGTTTTTTCACCGATTTTTTTTTTTTTTTTTAGAAATATCATCAACAGAGGTCTAAACATGAACAGTATCAAATCAACGCAGCCTGCCGTTTTAAACTTCCATTGTCTAAGCAGAAACTAGGTTTTCTGTTGCATTCTGGCAGCTTTGAATTTTGAAACCCTCTTTGTAGTTTCTTCTGAAGCTTCAGAAAGAACTTCCTCAGATTTTCGCTCCAGAATGGTAGGCAGGGCAGGGTGAGCGATTACTGGGTGTGGTGCTGAAGCAGGAGACAGAGGCTCCTTCTCGACAACAGTCCCCGAGAAAGCCTACAAGGAAAGGAAACCTTGAAAATAAGCTTATAGGTTACAAAGTATATTACCGTCACTTTCTCTTTTAGTCAAAAATACAGAAAAAACTCCACCAAACCAACAGCAACTCCCTGCAAAAGAAAACTGTCTAGCTTCCTCAAAAGAAAACCAGAAGGAGTGCTAGTGTTCTAAGGAGAGATATTCATACTCTATGTACGTTTTGGAGTAAGAAAAAAAATGGTCTTCAAGAACATAAAAACAGATGATGCAATAGTAAATTTCAGCTCCGCAACTGATACAACTTTGCAGATCTGAGGCCTGTCAACATTTCAATCATACTGCACTTTCAAGGTTTCATATTGTGCCTCCTTTAACTGCTTCAAGCTGACACCTGGTGTACAAACTACAAACTATTTTGCGTGTTGACATGTTTCCCCCCTGTCAACATCATCACAACAGTTAAGTAAGATTTTATAGAAAGTGGCAGACAAGCTCAATATATTTTTTAATGCAGGAAGACTGTGAAGTACATTGGGGAATTGTCCCCTTGCGGACTGCCTTATGTTAACTTATCTGGAGGCATCTGGCTATCCGCTCCAGGGAAGGGGTCCCTGGATCAGCTGGTCATTTTAGCCTAATCCAGCATGGCTCTTCATATAGTAGGCAAGATGTGAACAAAATGCTAAATCACAGATTTCCATTGGTCACTCATAGGAAGCAAGGCCTAATCTAAACCCTCTCTTTTCCCGTTGTGATTATGTGCCTCTCCCAATGAAAAAGTCTGTATGCCTCCGCTCCTTGTGCTGCTATTAGAGGTGGGCAACTTACCCTGCTGCCAGAGTATCCCTTTTTTTTCTGGCCCCTTTGATCCATTTGCCCTCGAGAACAAGGCAAGAGAGAGTGCAGAACTCTCCAGTTTCTTTCTAGCTGAGGAGGAAATCTCAACTAAATCCTAAGAAAATGTACTTCTACTGAAATGGTGGCGGTTACTTCCCAGTAAATGCATCTAGGATGGAAGTGCCAAGGTTCACAAGAGAGTGTTTTATAAATGGTTTACCTGACTTAGAAAAGAGTACTGACAGAGGCACCTGTGCTCTAATCACACTGACATGGGGAAAAGGCTGCCTTTGTGAAATGCCCCCGGCATGCCTTAGTCAGAAAGAGAATAGTGTGCCTGTAGATGAAGGAATGCACATTTTTGTTGTTCTGCCCAAGGAATAAGCTGGTGGCAGCTAAAGAGACAATTTACGAAAAATGAAATCAACATTAATAATGTTTCTAATTTGTCCTAATGTTTTCTCCTAAAAAGAAACAATAAATGAAAGAACCCTCTCTCTGTACCTCATACAATCCTGATAATGGCGATGGTTTTTTTGAAAGATGCTCCTGCTCCCCCTCTTCTTCCTCCACTAAGATTCCTTCGCTGTTATCACTGTAGGTACTTTCATCGTAGCTCACACTCCGCAGAATTCCTCGTCTGTCATCAAACTCAGCAGTGCTGCTCTCACTGGTATCACTACAAACACTGTTCTCACGGCTTCGAGACTTCAAAATTGATTTACGAGGGACATACTCTCCATTCACAACATCAACAAAGACTCTGCAAAAGGAAAATGTTAGCTTTAATAAACTATGTGAGAAGGGGGGCAGAGAACCACATGACAAATTCACAATAATTTCACTGTCTTTGGTACAAATTAATTATGATGACTTTGCCTAGTCAACTTTCTTACTGAACTCTTGTAAAAGATGCAATGCATTCAGCAACGCAACTGTTACCCTGCCACTTTTGAGTGGATACTTATCACATTTCTTCAGGAGTGAACATCCTTATTAGAGCTTTACAAAGACTTGTATTTTGCAAAATGAAACTGGACACCACCTGAAGGAACCTTTTTATAAAGTGACACTGTTTTTGCTTTTAATAATCAGATTTGGCTTCAAATTACCTATCACGCTCAAGAGAATAATGTGCGGTTATTTAAGTGAAAGAAGATCTGAAAAACTTGTGAGCTTCACAGGCTTGGCAGAGGGTGAAGTGAGATACAGAGACACAGAGAGATCATGGGTCCACCTAGTTCCGTATTGTCTATATTCTTGCTAGCAGTTTCTCTTCAATGTCTCAAGGTTTTTCCAAGCATCACCTACCTCCAATCCTTAATGCAGCCTTTCCCAGCCTGATGTCCTCCAGATGTTGTTGGACTACAACGCCCATCAGCCCCAGCCTGCATGCTCAATGGTTAGGGATGATGGCACTTGTAATCCAGCAACATCTGTCAGGAATCTGTTTGAAGAAGGCCGCTTTAACAGGAGATATTGAATACTGAACCTGGAACTTGTGGCATGCAAAGCATAAGCTACTGTAAAGTCATGGGATGTCTTCTCAGTAGCTCTGCCATGGATATGATTGGTTGCCAATAAAGTAAATCACTTTAGAAGAGTAAGGAACATGCCACCCCAAAGTAGTTTGGAAATTTTTCAGCTCTGAGAATTTCTCCATTAATACACTCACAGACAGATATTTTGTTTTTATATGAAGTGATATGAAAACAATATGAAAACATTAATAGCAGTAGCAATTAAAAACAATATGAAAACGTTAATAGCAATATCTGCTAAATGCCCTAACTAGGTATAGCAGCAAAATGAAACACAAATTGATTGTTTTTGCAATTTTCATAATGGCCAAGCCATTTTTAAGGAACCATTTAAGTGAATAATTGAATAATTGTCAAATATGAATAATACAGAATAAGTGAGATATTCCTACCAGGTGCAATTTGGCATACAAAAGGTTCAGGAATACATTATATAATTTATATTAATTACATGGAATTAAATAGGATTAATTATTAGCTGTGGCCCTCTGGCTCTTGGTAGATTACCAACTGTTCTAGAGCTATACTATGCAAAATGAATCACACCCCATCAAACTGTTCTTGCTACAGGTGCCATACCGATAAATGTCTGCTGGTGTTTTGATGCTGGGCAGTTCTGTAGCTGAGTGCCCATTGCCATTGCTATTCTTTCGCTTGCGTTTTGCCTCTTCTTTCTTCTCACTGAATTTCAAAGTAGTATTTTTTCCTGTGTTTATTCGTACCTGAGGCGGAAATAAACATTAGTCATAAATAATCAGACTTTAATCAAGCAAAGACAGCAAAATATCATTCTTTAATCAGCTGAACAAACAAAATATTAAGGTCTATGGCACCCCCCCTATATAGGGGTGGTTTTGGCTGCAATGATAAACTGTGGTTTGGTGTTGCCTGCATAAGCCTTGGGCTTGTTTGCTCCTACCCATCCACTCCTCTTTGGCATAGCTGTGAGAGGTTAGAAGCTTCTGATTCTGTTTTCAGCTAACAGTGGTTTGTTATGTGTGGACCCAGAAGTGTGGTTAGTCTTTTGGTTAACCACAATTTGTCGTGGGTAACTTCAAACAAGCCAATTTCAAACCATTGTTTCTGAAGCTGGCTTGTTTAAACTAACCATACTGACATTTAACCACACTTCTGGGTTTGGATGACACAGCAGGCTGTAGCACACCACAAGATAGCAAAATCTAGACACAACCCTGAGCACCCTTGATTTAAGGTGACCTGAGATGCACCGCTAGCCATAAGGAAATCCACTGTGACAGTGAAAAATCTAAATAAATTTCAAAACACTAATTCTATTCAGGGCTATAACTTAAACCAAATTTAAACAAAATTGTTGTTCATCAGCTATGAGAGAAAGCAGCAAAGGGTTAACTATTCTTCTCAGTCAGAAGGCTGGGGCAGAAAACCTGATGTCCTAACAGGAGAGGCAACTCTTCTCATTTCACTTTCTGCCTCCAATTTAAATCTGGGAACAAAGCCAGCCTTTTAAAGAACAGCTCCAATATACCTTCCCCATCTCTCCTTAATTATCATATACGGAGTAGGAAGGAAACATTAGACCAGAGGAAACCTCCTCAGCACTGCTCTGTTCTCGTCTCAGCAATATGGGAGGAAGAGAGGAGTGTCTCCAGGTTTCTTGGGATATACCAATGCAAATCTGCAGAGGTTTAGAAAAGAGTTGTAGCACCAACAAATTTTTTCTTGGGCATGGGGATAGCCTATGAGTGATGGGATCCTGCCTCCACCAACACTGAGGACAAACTGTTCTATCCTGAACTCTTTCTGTGGATAAGTTAGTCATCTTTCTGTGGATAAGTTAGGCTAACATCTCCAAAGAAAAGGTGGAGTAATGGGATTTCTTCAGTCTTTTAGCTCACCCTGGAGTTTACATTCTAGATGCCAAAGCGTAAGAAAATGCAATAAACAGCATTACCATCACACTCCATCAACATCCAATCAAACCAGGTCCTAGGTGTACCTAGGTGTCCTTCTGACTACTCTTTCCAATGACCTGAACATGGTAGGGATCCTATTCAGGAAAGCAAAGTTTGCCTTATCTTTTAAATGAAGAGGCATAATCCCATTTCTTGCCCTCAAAGCCTACTAAGAAGAAAGGACATTCTTGGTTAAATCTATTTCCCATTTTACCTAAAGCCAACAAGATTTTAAGCAGTTTTGGGCAGCATGTACATTTTAATACCCTATTCTTTTTACATGTGATCTTTTAAAGTTTGAAGTTAAAGAGTTTAGATTAGAAATGCAAAAGCCCCCCTTTTACCTAATCATTTCATGAGAATACAACATTAGTTAGAACCCTAAATAAGCCTGGCCTCTCGACATGTAAAAGTAGCAGTGTATTACGCAAGAAAAGCATTACAAACTGATAATTCAACAATCTCCATAATATGAATTCAACAATCCTTGCAATACAAACCCTTTTCGGTTCCACAGTATGAGAGAAATATATTGTCGGTACGGCGTGCTCAGCAATGGCTGAATCATCCTCATCATCATCACTGCAATAATGATTTGGGCCATTAAGCTGATCTCTGAACACTTCTGAGTTGGTTACTTTTTTCTGGAAGTTGCCCTGAGTATTAGGTTCTTCCCCCCTATTGGCTATATTCACATCTGTCTTTTTTTCTTCTCTCTCTTCTTCAGAGGAGGAAGTGTCTTCTCCATTTGCCTCAACAGCATCAGAGACCCTAGAGTGGGGATGGGGAAGGATGAAATTCAGTTCCAGTTCAAAGCCATAAAATAAGCATTTAGCTGATGCTTGGATATTTTTAGGGCTTTCCCTTCTTTTGCAAGATATGGACAACTATCTTATTTTTACAAATAACACCAAAAAGTAGCACATGCACCAGAGGCACACTTGGTTTGTACTGGAAACTGGACTTTTAGTGTTGCAGCACTGATCCTCTATAATCAGTTAGAAGCTGAAATTTGACAAGTAGACTGGACTTAACTGTCAGGGGTCCTTTACCTTTACCTTTTTTTAGCTTAAAACAAAAGAAATTCCTTCCAGTAGCACTTCTTCATCTGAAGAAGTGTGCATGCACACGAAAGCGCATACCAAGAACTAACTTAGTTGGTCTTTAAGGTGCTACTGGAAGGAATTTCTTTTGTTTTGACTATGGCAGACCAACACGGCTACCTATCTGTAACTTTTTTTAGCTTGTTACTTATGCAGATACTAAAGACTTTTTCCTTTTCTTTTTTGGTTTAAGATAGCGTTCCCTGAAGCATGACCGAGTCTTTTTATGGAATATTAACTGTACAATTGTAGAAATGGTTTTATTGTTTTAGACTTTCTATATTTTGTACTATCTCTCATTTTATCTTATTAAACACTGCTTCAGTAGGTTCTGGCTGTGAAACGGTTTATAAATCTGCAAAATAGAGCAAATAAACAAATAATACCCAGTTTCCTGTTTACCATGTTGGCCAACCAGGTGCCTCTGGGACAGTCACAAGCAGTACATGGAGGCAACAGTTCTCTCTTGTCGCTCCCCTGCTTACTCTACTAAAACGAAGAGGCTTCATATAGCCATCCTGACTAGCAGCCACTAACAGACTTGTTATGATTTCTAATTATGATTTCTAATAGTATGCTCTGCTGCTGTGGTGAACAATGGGAACGTACATGCCATTATTTCCAGTGTCACCAATTGTTCCTATGTACCAAGAAACCACCAAAAACTTCCAATTATTAGCTTGAGGGGAAATCTCATGAGGTTTTATTACAATCGAGCAGTATACAAATTTTGCTAAGTAAATGTTAAGTAAAATTACTGAAGGTTTTTTAAAAGTTTGCCCCCCAAAAAACCTACCTACTCCACATATATTTTGGCACTTTCCCCCCACAAGTTTCTTCTTATTACTTTCTAATACAAGTTAAATCCAGCTACCTGATGGTTCTGGAGCTTTGGCTGCTGTGTGATCCAATCTCATCCTCAACACCCATCTCAACTCTTTTATGGCACAGTGCTTTGAATTTATTCGACTGTGCTTTAAGTACAACTAAGCAAATGTTGTTTTCTTTTAGAAAGATGTTGAAAACTCAATCCTGGAATTCCAGTATGGTCAAAGGCTCTACCTGCACTACTATGTTATAACAGTTTACTTCCTCTGAACGGTCATTTCTCTCTCCCTATAAAGAATCACGGGAATTGTTGTTTGGTGAGAAACTTTAGGAGTGACCATGGCTCTGTGGCAGAGTATACACTTTGCACAGAAGGTCCCTGGTTAAATCCTTAGCAACTCCATTTAAAAGGATTTAGTAGCAAGAGATGGGAGAGAATTCCGTATGACCCCCTGGAGAGGCATTTTCAATCTGAGTAGACAATACTGTGGTAACTGGATACATAATGTGACCTGGTATAACAGAGCTTCCTATATTCTCTATGTTCTCAGTGTCCTCCGCTTCACAAAATTACAAATCCCATGGTTCCCTCGGCGGAATGAATTACTGTAAAACTAATTTAAGTCTATGGTGAAAATATGTATCAGCCAGAAGTTTTAGCCAGAAGATTCCACACTTACTACTTAAATGATTACATTCTTCTGTCATTCAAATTGGGGTGGGGTAGCAGGAAGTAAAGGGGGTGGAGAAAAAGTTTAATGCCCAACACTTTTTGGACTCATTGGGAACTTCATTTGGGTGTTCCAAATGCTGACGTTCAATCTCTTGTTATATTGTCTCTACTCTCCTTCTGCCGTAGCAGGAAAGTGGAGACAGTATAACATTGCATTTTTTTTCTCCTACCATTTTGCTGCCTGCTCCCCTCTTCCCCAATTTTCCTGGGATTTCCCATTTTTCGCTATCAAAGTGACTAAAACAGGTAAATATATATTTCTGTTTATGCACATCAGTACCCAAGCCAAATCTACTGTATTTGCTGGTCATTGTTTTTATTTAAGCAGCAACCTCATCCTGCAACAAAGGAAGATTACAGAAGTTCAAGTTTTCCAGATGAAGGAAAGAACTTTGAAACTTTCTTTTTGCTGTGATTGGAAATAGAAAATGTTGCAGAAGCAGAAAGTAATGAGACTGTGGGTATAATAATTACAGAATGTCAGATATACAAAATGCAACACTGCATATGGGATTGCAATGCACTATAAATTTGGGTCAGGCTTTGTTCACCAAAAAGGGAAGACCAGGGAGAGTGTTTTTAAGTTCTAAGCATAATTCTGTAGCCAGTCCTAGACTCAGAGAGAATTTCAATGCATGAGATAGTGTTCAAAATATGCAAGTTTGACAACAATGGAAACACAAATCACCAATGTCTTTCCCTGTTTGAGAACCCAGACTTGATTAAGTGGAAAAGTTTGACTCAATAAATATCCAAGCTTCAGTCTTACAAATTCTCTCTTCTTTTGAACAGAATGCTCCAACCAACAACTGTTAAGATACCTGTTGAGTTCACCAAGTATCTCTTCTTGTCTCTCTAGTTCATCTAGTCTGGCCCAAAAGTCTTCCTCTGATTTCAAGTCCTCACTGGATTTTTCGCCAGTTCCATTTTCTTGAAGATTTGCCTCAAAAGCAAATGTTTTTGGTTTAGAATGAGGTTTGTGAGCAATTCTGTGTTTTCCTGTGTAATAAACAAAGCAAGAGATTTTTTAAAAAATCTATTACCATCATAATGCAAAGGAAAGGAAAGGAAGGGAAAAGGCAATTGTAATGAAGGACTTTGGACAAAAACCATAAAAAAATCTGTTTCAAATTACTACTGAAGTTTTAAGTAGCACCAATGAACTATATAATCGTCCCATGGCAAAAAGTACCTGATGTTTATCCAAATGCCAAAATACATGCCCCCCCACCTAAAAAAACCACACACACCCCCCCCAGGAAAACAGCATTTCTGGGATATTTTCAATGTAGTAACTTTGCACCTGCTATATCAGAAGATAAAAAGCTGCCTTATATTAAGTCAGCCTACAGGTCCATCTAGTCCCATGGTGTCTACACCAGTGTTCTTTTGCCTTGGGTCCCCCAAGTGTTGTTAAGACTACAAGTGCAATCACCCATGTCTGTTGGCTAAACTGGCTCGGGATGGTGCGAGTTGTAATCCAACAACAGCTGCGGATCCAAGGCTGAAGGATCCACAATGGCTCTCAGGTATGTGAGAGTTTCTTCTTTATTTCTTAAAGTCTTTACAGTAGAGGTTTATTTGCTGCTATTGGACTACAACTGCCATTGCCCTTGACTATTATTCATGCTGACTAGGGCTAGCTAGCCACCCCTCCTTTATAACATACTCCAGTGTGTATTGGGAAAATGATGAAAAACTGTATAACAAGTATGTCTGAGAAACGTATTCTGGACTCTTCAAGGAAGAGGCACAAAAATTATATTTATTTTAGCTTGGTTATAAGGGTATCACATTAAATGATGCATGTGCCTCAGTTTATAAATGTATCTTGCCATTTTCAGAAGTGCCTAGAGAAACCTAACCTTACACACTAAGTCACTACATTAAATTGGAGACCATTTGGCTTTCGTATTAGAAAAAATAATATAAAACACAGATCCCACAATGGTTGAGCACATTTTAAGACCACAAAACCTTACCTTTTGTTTCAGTGCCATTACTTTCAGCAACTTCTCTTATATCCACAAAATCACCTGCTGCCTAATTGGAAAAAATGTTAGAGTTAGCAAGTATATTTGATAGTACTACTTGATAAGCATTCACATATCTGGTAAGCTACTGGTAAGCGAGCTTTGGACTTCTGCATCACAAATGGCAGTTGCCCATGCTATGTAGCAAGCAAACTGAGGGGAGTTCTGAAAATAGTTTGTGGTATGACATGGGATGGGTTTGTTTCTGATCTTCAAAGACTAAGGTTGTAAATCCTTCTGGATGCATGCCAGCTCCTGGTCCTTGAACCTAACAAACTTTGCAATGTGAAGTCGTTTGAGAGGTGAGTAGCCTCTGTTATGTTCATATGCTTCTTATCACTTTTATAAAGTGCCCTTTGGATGCAATAACAAATGTCTTACATTACTCATCTTCTGCAAATCTTCTGTGAATTCAACTCTGGATTCAAAGTTCTTCATGACTTTCTGCAAATCATCCAGTGCTTTCCTTACAT